GTTTCTATTTATTGTGTAGATGATAAAAATGAGTAGAGGATAATTCTTACAAGCAGGAACAGAACTCCTCAAAGCTTCAACATCTTTGCAATACTTGAACCGATAAACATTTCACCTTTGTGTATTTGTGAACAGATTTTTGAATTTTGTGGAGCTGATGCTAGCAAATTAGAAACGAAGATTCAAGAACTAATGTAACCTGATCTCCAAGACAAAATACACTTGCAGCATTTTAAAGCCCACAGCCAAGTGTTTGTGTTTTCATTTCCAGCAAATACTGTAATGTTCTACTGTGCTCTCTCCTAATGCGTTGCAGGTTGAATTTCTTCTTGCAACTCGCGGAGAAATCGCTTAATAGCCCTGAGCTCTCAGAGATTGCGGTCATTCCCATTCTCTAAGATGTCCTTTCCACTTATTCGGAGCACATCCCTTAGGCAATATTGTTATGACCTTCACAACAGAGACCCTGCCCAGCTACATAATATCAGTTCATTGGGACGGTTTCCAGAGATCACCAAGATGGAATTCTTCTCGGTGATCTAGAAACCAATAAATGCCTCATTGCCCTGGGGCACTCCAAATATATAGCGCTTCTCCCAATGAAGCCATTGTTCGCGGTACAAAATTCTTTTCCAGTGTATTAGCTAGAATTGTGTCATTTTTCTCTCCCTCATTGCCTTTCTAAAATTATTCTATAATTTTTTAAAAATCTCTCAAAAACAAAAGCCAGAAAGTAATTTTCCTACCTATACATATTTTTTAAACTGAGATCGCTCAGACAGTTAGAGCTCAGAGAAGTTGGCTGCTTCTCTTATCAACTGCGCCCACCCTAGGGCTGCCATCAGATGAACACCCAGGGGCTTTAAGTCGTGGAGCCAGCTCTCCCAAGCCATCAATGACTGAGATTTTGACAACGCCTAGGATCCATGTGCCTTGTTAGAATTCTTTGGAATGTAGAGTAGCGGAAACCAACCCATGCTAGCTTAAGCAAAAAGCAACACTGATTTACCATGCAACAAATATTTATTGAGCACTTACTCTGTGCCAAGCACTGTTATGGTCCCTTAAAATAAAACTTGGTTGATAGAATCCAAAGACAGAGATATATCCAGCCTTTTATGAGAATAGAAATGAGGAGAGAAGGGGTGTGGGGGGCCCAGGATGGTTCTGAGTGTGTCTGTCCTCTGCTTTTCTCATCTGAATCACCATTCCTGTCGTTTTGGATAGGTGTTCTTTACTTCCCAGTCCTCGTGTGGGAAAGTATCCCCTGAAAATAACCCCCAAGTTATCCCCTCCATTCAAGAGACCAGCCAGACTGCGCCTCAGGAAGACGCTAGCCAGTGGGTAGGATCACAGGATAAAACAGTTTTGCTCATGCTGTAAGGATAGGGGTGGGGATGGCAGGGATCCCAGACAGGCAAGAGGTTCGAAAGACTCAAAATATTGTGTCCCATACTAAACATAAAATTTTAAAACAAAGTAACAATTTAAAGCAAAAAGTATTGGACAAGAGGACATATATCCAGCTATGCTTATGTATATAAATATTTATGTACTTACGTGCTAGGCAATACCCTAAGCCCTTTGCATTTATCCCTCATTTGACCACTGCAACAATCCTGTAAGTAGCTGTGTACTGGTAAATACTTAACAACTGGCTCTGTGTGTGTGTGTGTGTGTGTGTGTGTGTGTGTGTGCGTGCAAGGGAAGTGGGGGAGGGTAGTCCTGGTTTGTAGTGATTGCCAATTACTATAGTGTAAATACTTGGTAGATTTCAAGCTACTAACCTGAACTTGCAGAGTATGGAAAAGATGTACATAAAAGGCTCTTATGTGCTGGTTAAGATTTGGCTCCAGGACATCGCTACATACACATGAGGTACTACTTTTACCCCTGTTTTCTTACAGAGGAGAGGACAGACACCGCATAGTTAAATGACTTGCCCAAGTTTTCCCAGGTGAATCTATATTAGACCCCAAGCTGTCTGGCTTCAAAACTGAGACCAAGGATTGAAGAAAGATAATACAGCTGGGTTTATAACAATGCCATCTTTATCTTAAATTTTACCAGTCACTCTCACTACTTAACAAAATATAGTGTCCCAAAATTTTCAGTCATCTTATCTGGTGCCCTCATCTCACATAAGAGCCGATTGGAGAGGTTTGGAGCAAAACGTCTCAATTTGCACTTCCAGGACTCTAAACCATAACTACAATTTACCCGATGCTTCGTGCCATATGCTATTTGCACCCCCTCCTACACTCACAACATCCCTAATAGGTTCTTAGCATTGTCAGTGTACACAGGAAATAGACTCGGCATTTGATCTGTCCAAGATCACAAAGGAGGCGGGCAGTCAGGATTCCCACCCAGGTCCATCCGTCTCCAAGGCCCACAATGAAAGGCTGCCGTTCCTTGGAGCCCTTTTCAGCCTCCACAGGACGATTGCAGCTCAGCAGCCAAAATGCAGTCGGCTTCAAGTCCACAGTCCTTCCTGAGCGCCCCTTCCTTCTTCCTGGTGCACGAGTCCAACGGAACATGTCTGTCCCGGCCTCCTGACTCCCAAGCACAGTTCTCTCATCTCTCAAAGTTTGCATTAAAGAATAAAAAATTAAAAAAAGACATTCAGACTCATTGTATCATTTCCTTCCTATGACGATAATAACGTTATTTAACCATAACAAAATACTTCACCTAGCTCTTTCATCTGCAATGAACACATCTTTAACAAGCTTAGCAAGTTCTGGCTTATTGTCCACATTTTACTCTCCTGGAGTCACAAATTACAGTCTAAATTTAAAATCCTATCTCCCCACCCCACCCCCACCCCATTTTCTATGGGGCACAATCAAAGATAGTTCTGGCAAAATTAGGAGACAGGCCAAGTTGAGGCCTTCTCCACTCTCAGTTCCAGGACCTCCTCCTCACCCAGCTTTTCTTCCTCCTCCCTCCCACTCCTAACTGTCACCACCCAGCACACATTTTACATTGATTTCCTCAGCCTTTCTTGCTCTCAGTTATAATTGTTTCTTCACTCATTCATCCCCCAATCATTCATTGAAGGGTTTTTTATGCTAGCACCAGGCCTATCCTAGGGACGGGTAGAGTGCAAATACTACTTCAGCAGGGGAAAGCCATCTGTGAATGAAGCTGAAGGAATTTCAGTGAGAGAGGCAATAACCAATATTTATGCAAATGCAAAGTGATATAGAAAAACAGGTGAGAGAGTGAGCGATGCTCCTAGAGGTTGGGCAGGGGGTGGGGTTGATCTCTGTTTAACCTTGACTTGCTTATCTTTACCTCCAGGATGTTTAGACTGGGTCACTCCCAGAGGATGGGAGCATGTTCTTACTCATCTCTAACCCCCTGGTATCCAGCCCATGCACAGACCAGAGGAGACCAAGGAGACATGACCACTAACTGCAGTGTGGTGCCCTGAACTGGAGTCTGGAGCAGAAAACGTACATGACTGGAAAAAGTGGTGAAATGCAAATAAGATCTGGAGTTTAGCCCACAGTAACGTACCCATGCAGGTCTTGATAAATACTGAGGCTCAAGAATCCCACACGCTATAGCACTTAATCCTCAAGCAACTCCGTGGTCATACTGTTCTCATTTTACAAGCAAGTTCAGAGAGATGAAGTGCCTTGTCCAAGGTCACACAGCTAGAAAATGACTGAGGCCAAATGTGAACCCAGGTGTGCTAGAGGAAATCAGAGGAATGATGAACGCTGGAGGGTGGGGCGGGGGAGGTCGTGCAGGAGGCAGCCGATCAATGATTATATCTCATCATTGATGTTTCTATCTCTCCCTTTCCCTTCCTCTCTGCAATCAATAAAAATGTTAAAATGTGTTAAAAAAAAAAGTGTTTAAAAAAAAAAGGAATATGTAACGATGAGAATAAGAGATCAAAGAAATGCCCTGAAGGAAGAGTTAAAAAAAAGTGTTTAAAAAAAAGGAATATGTAACGAGAATAAGAGATCAAAGAAATGCCCTGAAGGAAGAGTTTAAGCAACATATCGGATTTCCAAAAAGGCACTGTTGCCCAGGTAGGTGATCCTTATTCATTTTCCCAAAAAAGATGGGCTGTTTTCCAGAAACTCTTCAACACGGAAAAGGCCAGGAGGGAACTTGCCACCAGGTGAGAAAGCAACCTCAGCCAGGGCCTCAGGGCCACGTCACTTCTGTTATCATGTACTTAATCTATTCACCTTTTGAATATGAACAAATCTTTTGGCAACAAATCTTTTTATCACCACACGTTAAAGGGAAGATGAGTATTGTTCTCAGAACAAAACTTGAAATAAACAAAATGCATTGAAATCAAAATGATTTTTGTTTTGAAGCCCAACTTGGTATGTGGCTGGTCCAAGACTCAGAGGCAGAGTTCTCTCTCCTCTGTCCTCCCCTCCCCCTCTTCTCCTCTCTCTCCTCCTAATTATCCCTTTCTCTCTCTTCTCTCTTTCTCCCTCATTCCCTCCCTCTCTCTCCCCACCTCCAACAGAACGAACTACTACTAGTATAGAAATTTTAAAGCTAGAATAGCACCAAATTAAGACTTTCTTCTTGAGTAACCAGTATTGAAAGAAAATTAAAAAGGGACCAGGAGGGGGTTTATGAGAACTCTCTGTATCTCTGCTCAATGTCTTCTAAATCTAAAACTGCTCTTTAAAAGTCTATTAATTTTTTTTAAAGTGTACACATAAGAAATAAAATTGAGTTTATAATTGGGGGTGGGGGGAGAATTAACCTTCTCCCTACATGAGTCAAAGTTGTTTAATGGTGCATTCCCCATGCAACCCCCAATCATCAGAATTATTCCCTGAAATTACCTTTCACCGTAACATTGGTCCATGGCTCACATTTTGTGAAACACTACTAAGCCAAAGTCTGATAACATGGAAAAATACGAAGAAAAAGTATAGATTGGATGGTTTCCTGTTGATGGCAGAATGAAGCGGTGACTCATTCACCTTTCTGCCAAAGCCCTTTATGGTCTGACCCGCATTGCATTTATGCCTTTCTCCCATCGCCCATGCACTCCAGCCATTATCTCAAACTCTGTGCTCACCCCTGTATCTGGAATTTCCTCCCCCCATCTCTGCCTGTCAAGTCTTATTCAGGATCACCCAGCAAAGGCATCATTCCTTCAAGTCAACCCAACCAGCCATGTGAAGCCTACCTCAGCTATCGCAGACAGGGGAAGCATTCCTCCTCAGGTAGGTCTAGGGTGCTGTGTGGGCCCAACCATTGGAGCCACCATCTTTTGTGGGGTACGGTGGATGTTTATGTCTGCCCTGGGTTACCAGATAAAGTACATGGCACCTAGTTAAATTTGGATTTCAGACAAAGGATAATTTTTAGCGAATGCTTCATTCAATATTTATTTTTTATTTGCTAAGTTTGGCGATCCTATGTCTGTCTCCAATGAGACTCGGCTTCCTACTTATAAAAGCTGTGGCTTTGCATCCGTGTGTATGCAGTACTGAGGACACTACCAGGCACTTAGTAGAGTCTTGGTAACTATTGAATGACTGCTGTCCAACTCGCCCAGGAAACCCTAAGATTTCAACTAATATCAGGAATACATTTCTATTTCTATCTAGAAATGCAGGCTTGGAAGGGGGAAAGATAATGTGCTCAAATGTAATACAAGTAACTATTGAATGACTGCTGTCCAACTCGCCCAAGAAACCCTAAGATTTCAATTAATATCAGGAATACATTTCTATCTAGAAATGCAGGTTTGGAAGGGGGAAAGATAATGTGCTCAAATGTAATACATTTGTAATTCCTAACTAGATCTGTAGGAAGGAGCAAAGGTGTCTGCATTATTCTCCATCTTGTCTTTAGCACACATAACAAGTCACACACCGCATGGCTTCCATATACTTTACAATCAGCTCCGACACAAATCACACATGAGGGTGAGAACTTGGTACACTGAATCCAAAGGCAGGCAGAATAAATAGCAGCAGCAGCCAAGAACAGATCTACGCCATGTCGGGGCCAGTTCTGTCTCGATGAATCAGGTATGCAATTAATCATCATGTTTTGCTTCACAGCTTTCCTGTGAGGGGAGTGTGCGCGATGAAAGAATCACAGGCTGGAAAGTCAGAGAGGCCTGGGTTTGTGGTTGTGACTCAGCGTCTGCCAGGAGGGAGCCCTCGCTGGGGCTCCGTCTTCTCATCTGTGAGCCAGGTTCTCATGGCTACTCCGAAAGGTCGATGTGAGTATTAAATGGAATAATGCACATGACATGTTTTGTATGGTACCTGTCCATAGCAAGTGATCAAGGGTAGAAACAATGATAGTGACAAGAATGATTATGTTTTCATTTCTACTATTCCAGCCAGATTATAATCTCTTTGAGTCTATGAACTATTTCATTCCTTTATTCATCATTATTTATTTATTTTTACGTCGTTTGTAGCCTCCAGTAGCCTCTAGTATAATGTGCAGTAAAGTATATTCGTCAGCTAGACATCCAAAGAGACTGAAGTCTTGAAAATGTTCAGTGTTTTATTGCCTTTCATAAAGCTGATAATATTTAACCACAGTAGAGTAGGGTAAGACCAGAAATTAACCTTTGTAAGTGACCGGTAGATTGCACAGTCTTTCACAAATAATTGATAGACTACGTTTGGGCACTAAGAAACACCAGAGAAATCAAGACATAGTTTCTTCTTTCTTAAAATAGTCAAGACTCATTTTGATGGAAAAACCATTCTTCCCACATTTCCCATCAGGATGTTCTATCACATGTGTGTCTAATCACAGCACACACCACGGGGAACACACCTCAGTGAGCTGGGGGTTGCCCTTCTCACCAGCTGCTCAAGGGGAGAGCTCAGGGTGAGGGGTCACCTGCTCTCAGCAGAGGAACACCAACCATATAGACACCATTCTCCAACCTTCGTCTTTCCTAGTTTAACAATAGCTATCGTTAAACTTGCAATTTCATATGAATATGTGACTTAAATCTAGCAAATTCTTCATTGTAAACATGTCACCCTCAACCTCCCAAATCTTTTTCTTGGATTCTCTGGCTTTGGACAATTTACTTTACCTGGGATGTAATTTTTTCCCCCCTGTACAATGAGAAAGTTGGAATCCATGGTCTTTAAGCTCCCTTTCAGCTCTGTATCCTCAGGATCCCATCTCTCTATTTTATCTCTGCATCTCTCTGTTTTTTTTTAAATGAGATTTATTCTCTTTTTTTGTTTATTTGTGTGTGCGTGCGTGTGTGTGTGTGTGTGTGTGTGTTAATCCTCACCCAAGGATATTTTTCCATTGATTTTTAGAGAGAGTGGGAGTGGAAGAGACAGAAACATCGATGTGAGAGAGACACATCGATTGGTTGCCTCCCTGCACGCACCCCAACCAGGGCTGTGGAACCTACAACCAAGGTTCATGTCCTTGACCAAAATTGAACACAGGACCCTTCGGTCTGCGGTCTGACACTCTATCCACTGAGCCAAACCGATGAGGGCTCTGCATCTCTTTTAATTGAGCCAGTTTCCTCAATGCTAAGTCTAAGTCTATGAAATACATTAATCAAATTATTTTTTCTTAGAATTTTAGCATTCATTTCTAAGCCAGCTCAAATGTGTATTCAAGATAGTCCAGGTAAAAAGAATCCAATGATTGAGGTTTAGCTTATGTTAACCAGAAAGTTTACTGATAACTTCTTTTACAAGGCTTGGGGATGGAAAGGATAGAAAACATTCAGTCATTGTTGGTTGTGCCATTATTGTTACTGTTGTTAGCACTGCAATGGGGGAAATTAATATACTGAAATTATTCCATCCTTGTCTATGCCTTTCATTGGGCCTGGGAATGCCATCCACCCAGCCACTCTTTCGTACAGAGAAAGCCAAGATACAGGAGGAAGGGAGAAGCAGAATTAGCTACAAGGAACAGCCTGTATGCCAAGGTGAGAATTAGATCTTCCCGACTTTTCTCTGCTGTTTCCTTATCGAGTCACCTGTGTTTATAGTTTTATGAGAAACTTGTGCATTGCAGGCTCCTTAAATTACACCGATAGTTACTCATTTCCTATGGTAAACAGTGTCTATCCTCTCCCAACTGGTCTTTATTAAAATGCAAGTTGTACCAGATGGTAACACATCAAATTCCCAATACTCTTTTTTTTTAAGGTACATTCCTGGGAAAGGGAGGGGGGAGAAAGAAAGAAACATCCTGAGAACCATTCAAAGTTAGAGATCAGGTAGAGGAAGGGTGGTGGTGAAGTGGATGGAGAAAAGGATGCTAAGAGGGGGGCAAGATTCTAGAAAGGTGGGACAGGGGACAGAGAAGATAGACTCCACTTATTTTATGGTTTCTCTCGGCTAACCCCCCAACACACACACACACACACACACACACACACACACACACTCTATAGCCACTCTGGCTTCTTTCCAGTTTGAGAAGGTGCTAACCTCTTTCCTACCACCAGGCCTTTTTTACATGCTGTTTCCTCTTTCTTGGATGCTCCTCCTTCCACCCTCTTTGCCTCTTTACCTTGAACTCAAAGGACTCTTCTTCCAGGAAGCCTTCTCTGATTTCCCAGATCATAAAAAGGGCCCCCATTTTACATTTTAATAGCACGGTACAGTTCTCCTTCCTGTTACTGCACAGTTGCAACTGTACATTTATTCCTGTTGTTGTGTAATTAAGACCTATTCCCTTAGTAACTATACGCTCCTTGAGCATAGCTCCAGGCTTTTGCTCACCACTGGACCTATCTCCAATATATGACACTATCTGGCACATAGTAGGCACCCGACGAATCAGTTGGTTGACCAATTGAGTAAGTCAGGCTACAATCACCTTCCTCAAGCGGCTGCATGAATGCTGAGGAATAGTATTGTGCAATGGTTAACTGAGTATTTAGACTCTTAAGTCAGCCAGGATGAAATTCTGGCTCTGCCACTTACTAGCTCTGGGATTTGGAGCAAGTTTATTCACATTATTGTGTCTCTGCTTTCTCATCTGTGAAATGAGCATAACAATTCTGTTTTACTGACTCCAAGATGCCCTCGATTATAAGACACACCATGTACCATTAAGGAAAAACAAGCCTACCAGTGAACTAGAACACCGTGTTTCCTTATCACGGAGGCTTTTTTTTTTTAAAACTGGCCTCCGTCCCATCATTAGGATTAGCCAAGCAGCATTTCTGAGAGAAGCACTCAATGGCAGGTGCCTCAGCGGCTCCCAGCCCAGCCTGGGGGGCTGTCTTCCACGCCACTGGCATCCACTCTGCAACGTGATCTCACCGGCAGGTGCCAACAGAAGGTTTCAGACCAGAACCAGGAAGACATTAGGAAGAACAAATACCTGAACACAGGCAGGATCAGCAATGCTTGTAATTCAACGGAAATGCTGCAGCGTGGTATTGTTTTCAATACCATGCCTAAGTGTGACATGGTAGGCAATGTCCCCATCACCACCGCCGCCCTGCAGACAGCACTTAAGAGAAGCAATGGCGTCTAACACACCCCTCAGCTTCACAGAACTTGAGTCAAAACAGGTGCACTGGCAAATTTCATTGCCTAATTGATTGCATTATGTGTTGCTTTTATTTTATGAAACAGCCTATTTCACATCTACATTAAACTAAGCTGAATACAAAGTTTAGTGAAGGAGGCCTGCAGGTCTTGTTTGTAAAACATATGACCTCTGGCCTTTGGCCTCAAATTTTCAGGAAGGCATATATAATACTTTAAACAATAAAAACAAAAGCAAAATCAGGAAGGGCACTTAAAAGAGCTTCGTGTCTGTATGTTTCAGCGCCAGGGCATGGAATAGACTCTGACACCCGCTGTCAGATGGTCTTCAGCCCCCGGAGCACCAGCCTCTGCAGCAGGTGATTCTCTGGTAAAGAAATGACTTTCCCAAATTCTCCAGCCCCTGGCTTTGGCTCAGGTCTGCCATTTTCAGTCTCATCTCCACTAACAGTTCCTGTCACGATGTGTGTGGTACAGTTTGACAAACCCGGATCCACACATTCAGCTGGAGATTCAGCAACATCACCTCGATGGCTGCTTTCTCTCTTCACCTCCCGAGGAGCAGCTGTTTCTGGGTGCTGGTTACCGCCTGTCACAGCTGCGGGGCTTCTAGACGGGAGCCTCCTGCGGGCAGTCAGATGCGCTTCGCTGGAGGGATGCATGCACGGGGCTGAGGGCTTGC